CGAACAAGAAAGGATCATTGCACAACGAAAAGCGCGTAGAAGAATTACAACCATTGCAATATCTTCTTTCGTGCTCGTTTGCATCATAGTCTCCACCGTTGTTGGAGTCGTTCAAACCAAAGCCAGAAACAATTCATCCGAACAAAGTCATGTCGATTCCATGTCCACATCGGTCAAAGCCATTTGCAACGTCACCTTACATCCCGACTCGTGTTACAACACTCTATCCCCCTTGGCGGAAAATGGCAATTTCAAGCCCCAAGATTTGTACAAGCTATCGGTTCAAGTGGCCATCGACGAGCTCTCGAAAACCTCAAAGAAGTTTTCCGAAAATGCGGCCAAGAAATTCAACATAACGGACAAAACGACGCTGGCCGCAGTCGAAAGTTGTCGAGAACTGTTTTCGCTTGCGTTGGATCATCTCAACAGCTCGTTGTCCGTTAAGGACGCGAAATTATTCGACGCGTTTGATGATTTGAGGAGTTGGCTTAGCTCGGCCGGGACCTATCAGCAGACGTGCATAGACGACTTGGAAAGCTCATCGAGCGGGACGAGTGGCTTCGTGAGCGATATTTTCAAGAACTCGACCGAGTACACGAGCAATAGCTTGGCTATTATTAGCTCGTTCGAAGAGTCGATTGGGGCCTTGGGAGCTATCGGGAGTAGGCGTCGATTGATGGGGCTTGATGGGCCCGAATGGATGTCGCTTAAGGACCGGAAGCTGTTGCAGGTTCCGAATTCGAAGATCAAAGCTGATGCTGTGGTGGCAAAAGATGGGAGTGGGAAGTATAGGACAATAAAGGATGCATTGAAAGCTGTGCCTGAGAAGAGTGACAAGAGATTTGTGATCTATGTGAAGAAAGGAGTTTATTTTGAGAATGTTAGGGTTGAGAAAACAATGTGGAATGTGATGATGGTTGGAGATGGAAAGGATGCTACCATTGTTTCAGGCAGACTTAACTTTATTGATGGCACTCCCACATTTCAATCTGCTACATTTGGTGAGTATATTTATCTATCTTCTTAATATTTTATCAAGAAATATTAATCTTATGTCATAAATGTGAAAAATAACATAACTAAAGTATATGACTATCTAACCATCAGTCAAAATCGAAGTTTTCTAACGCTTTTTCATGCTCGTGTGTGAAACTATAGCCGTGTTCGGCCAAGGATTCATCGGTCGTGACATGGGCTTCCGCAACACGGCAGGACCGGACAAGCACCAGGCCGTGGCCCTAATGTCTACGGCCGACCTCTCAGTTTTCTACCGGTGCACAATGGATGCGTTCCAAGACACTCTCTACGCACACGCCAACCGACAATTCTACCGCGACTGCAGCATATATGGAACCGTAGACTTCATTTTCGGAAACTCGGCCGTTGTCCTCCAAAACTGCAACATCATGCCCAAGAAGCCCATGTTGGGCCAGCAGAACACCATCACGGCCCAAGGCAAGATCGACCCGAACCAGAACACGGGGATCTCGATCCAAAACTGCACCATTTGGCCCGCGGCCAATCTCACGGGCGTCAACACATTCTTGGGCCGGCCCTGGAAGAACTATTCGACCACGGTGTTTTTCAACAGCGTGATGGGCGCGTTCATTGACCCGAAAGGTTGGCTCCCGTGGGTCGGGACATCGGCCCCGAACACGATTTTTTATGCAGAGTTCCAAAATGTGGGCCTAGGGGCAGGGACCAGGAACAGGGTCAGCTGGAGGGGTTTGAAGCTCAAACTAAGTGCTAGCCAAGTTAGGAAGTTTACTGTTGGGCCTTTCATTCAAGGGGACAAGTGGATTAAGCAAACAGGTGTTCCATATAAATCAGGCCTTTGATTGGAGTTCTTACTTTGAAAAATTTTTCCTTTTTATTTTCCGAATTGCTTCAAGATTTGTCATCCTTTCTTTTGTTTTGAATTTTTTTTTTCCCTCTTAACTATTCATTTTTTCATATTTTGAAAGTTCCCATATTTTGCTACATTGTAATGGAATTTTCAGAATAACAATTTGTCATTAAGTCATTTATTAACATTTGACAATATATATACATTGATTATTAAATTTACTTTTCCTTTCAAAAATCCATTTAATTTATTTCATTTACCTCATATTAAATAATCAATCAATTGTGGATATTCAATGCTTATTTAGTAATATAAATTATCAATAGGTATTCTACTACTAGTATATAAAAGTATGACTTTTCATAACCATTCATTTTATTATATAGTAAAACATAATTGTCTAACGGTTAGACAACTTAACAGCAAAAACTTGTTATTATTTTTATTTAGGATTAATTAATTTCTTATTTAGTCGATCATTCTTACTATATATTCATGTGATATGCAACTTTTTGTTAAATACGTCTTAACTCAAGCAAATTTCAATTATTGATCCGCCCTACATTTCAAAATTATTTTCAGAATAATTGTTTATAATTTTATTTGATGAAATAAAATAAATGGGCACCAACTCTACCCAATGAGTATTGATATATCTTAATCATTTTTATACACTATTAATCAACTCGTGCATTTGCACGGAGGAGAATAATTAGAAGAGTTACGAATATAAAAATAAAATACAAAATCATGATTTAATTAATAAAAATATGAATTAAGAAAATGATTCTAAATATTATTAAACACTTTTTTGTATACAACATTCAAGGTTTTCCCATCGTCGGAATCACCATCACCACATATCATTATCTTCAAACTCTTCTGATTTGTGACTCTAAAAAGAGCCACATACAACTGTACATGACAGAAAACAGAGTTCTTCAATACTAAACCGACGTGTGAGAGAGACTGGTCTTGACTTTTGTTGATTGTCATAACATAGGACACCATGATTATGTGTTTGATAGCAGATTTTAAATACAACATTCAGAGATGTTTGATAGCAGATTTTGAATTTTTTAGAGTATTGTGTGTTTTTACAAAAAAAATTAAAAACAAAAAGGAATAATATTTCAACTTTAGTAATAAAGTAAATTAGATTATGAAGAATTAATTCACATATTTTTTATTCATTGTTTAAGACATTAGAACAAAGAAAATAAATTAAATATATATAATGACATGATTTCTCCACCCACATGTATTGTGTGTTTTTACAAAAAAATTTAAAAACAAAAAGGAATAATATTTCAGCTTTAGGAATAAAGTAAATTAGATTATGAAGAATTAATTCACATATTTTTTATTCATTGTTTAAGACATTAGAACAAAGAAAGTAAATTAAATATATATAATGACATGATTTCTCCACCCACATGTATATAAAATTACTTGTATGATTATAGCATGATGTTATGATAGTGTGATGTATATTACAAATTAGGGTAATTTTTTTTTT